CGCCGGCGACACTGTGAGCCGCGGGCACGGTGGCCGCGGAATGATGCAGCCTTTCGAATGCCCGTCGAACGAACGCGATCTGATTCATCGCGCCGCGCATTCAGCCCCGCCGTGTCCTCACCTAAAATGTGTATCTTACACTGTGGCCATGGCTAATAATGCATGAGAGCAACAGTACAGATTGTTTTTTTTTTATTTTATGAATAACAAATCGCCGGAACAGCTGGTCGATGTAGAACTCTTTAGCCGATATATGATGCTCAGACATCTACGCGCGGCACGCCTTCAAAACTTTGCTGCGGCGCGGATTCTTGATCGGTATACAAGCAGGTGAAGGCACAGAGACGCAGCATTTCGGTGTGCCAAGGAAGTTTTGATCATTCCGCGGGACCGGCGAAACCTGCTTTCTACGAGCTCTGCATTTTTCCTGCGGCATTGCGCTTTCGTAAATGTTTTCACGTGTTCTCAACGGCAAGTCTCAACGCTTACGCAAGGTCTTAAAAAACTTCTTCGCCGAATGATGACACACGAGTAGAAGACGCGTCTTCAGCACGCTGCCGCGGCTTCTGTAACGCTGGCAAAACAGCAATTCGTTTACGAGCAAGATGGCCGTCTGGTGGCTTCAGTCGCGGGAGTGTGAAGCGCGATCCAGCAATTCTCATGGAGATCAGAGGAGGCAACCAATACCCAGTTACTTCGCGCACTTTACGTCTTATCTTCGCTCTTCCTCGAGCCACAATTCTTTCGTCAACCGCACATCCCGGAGGTGGGGTAAAGCATACGCGTAACCAAAAGCCGCTTTCAAACGAACCAATTCGAAGCGGCCTACTTGGCTTTGTTGCACGAAATAACGCGAAGCAAGGAAACGGTTCAATCACTTGCCACCAGGTGGCAGGGTGAAGCAGAGTAATTGCACGTGTCTAGGCTTTGTGGCGCTACGTACCGTCCAGATTATGTTCTACAAAAAAAGTTTTATTTGCTCACTCCACCATTGCGCTTCGGGCCCTTTGGGCACCTTTTTATACTTGCTTGGAGTACGCATACTACAAGCATCAGCTGAACATATACACGCTTTGCATTAGCTGTGCATGGGCATCATAGCGACCTTTAGTTTTTGTGTCCTCTAATTCCGTTTACTCAACTTCATTGTTACCATAGCCGGCCAGGTTAATGTCGCTTTAGATTACACTGTGTCCTTCTCCTCAGCAGTGGCTTTTGTAGAAGCTCGTAAAAGACAGTTTTAGCAGCCCGGTATTTCGGTAAGACACGCTAGATCAGCAACTGCGGCCGTAATTTGACGCGTGTGTATACCATGTATGCATTAACCCCATACACATCCACGGCACATACAAACATCAATACAACATGACACTAACTTGATCACTAGTTGCGAGCTCTGTGTTTCAGCCTTTTATACTCGTCATTTTGAAAGTAGGAATTTTCTCGGTGACCACCTATGCCATAAATAATAATCCCAGTAAGTTGATTTTTCAGTAATATCATATATCTTAGAGTATTTGGAACAGCTCAGAAGACGAATCTCTCACTAGAAAGTAAACTCTGATGCCGAAAATATTTGAAAACAAATAAAACAAGCCCCTCCACTGCGGTTCCAAGCAATCTGTTTGCTTCCCCGCACGGCAAGTCGTAGCCAGTTTTTTTGTTTTGTTTTTTGTTGTAGTATTTGTTTTTTTTTCTTTGTGCTGTTCGCGTGCGGCTGCAATTGTTGTCTTGAATTAATCTCTGTAGAGGAGTGCTCACTCGGCTGGAAGCGATGCTATGTTAGTGAGTTAGTGATATTTTGCTGATGATCAATTTTGATGTGAACATTATAATTGTTTATCCTGATAGTCACCCAACCAAAGAACTCAAGCCCTTCATTGTACTAAGCGAAGAGAGAATATTGGTGTGCATATAAATTATATGTGGTGCAGGTTTATGCCACAGTATTATGTGTTATATGTGCTGTTCCTCGAGTATTCTGGTCGTGATACGGCATTGAAGTCGACATGCAGTATGAGCGGTGCGTATCACATTGTCGGGAGACCTACAAAACGGCATGCGATATGTGCACGCGCGGCTGTAGGAAAACCATTGGATAGCCTGAAAGTTTTCTTCCTCAACTCTTTCAGGTGAGAATTGCAGTATTTACAATTTCCTTTTATAACGCTGAATGCAAGTCACGTGCATAAAGATCCTTCAGCCATTTACATTTAAACTGAAAACCTACTTATGCGATTGTGATGCTGTCCAGATTCAGTTTGTTGAAGTTCGTAGGCTTGTCAGGTGACGTTGGAGTACTGTTCTTTGTACCTGAAGAGATATATATTTCAGAGTTTTTATAAAACACTGTAATTTGCCTAAGAAACTGGGTTGGGCCTTGTCATTGCTGCCAAGCACGACTATATTGATGTAATGCGCGACTAATATATTAAAGCAGACAGCAGCAATACAGGTGCAGCACTAAACTAGTTACAACTAGGTTCTTATGACAACATTACTGACGTTTTAGAAATCTTCATAATTTGTCGCAAGCATGTGATGAAGCACACAAGCTTTCTCCTATTCAAGTATTTGTTGCAGGGTGAGGTGACTGTTTACCTTAATAACTTACTGGAATATAAGTGATATTTTAGTTATATTCTAGCTGACAAGTATCATGCAGTTTTTCTCAAAAAATGTTGACTGCTTTTGTAAACATTGTATTCGCAATAATTTGGTGCTGTACGTTTGCATTTACGCATGAAAAAAGAAAGAAAAAGGAAACAGTTTGAGATTTAAGGAATTAGACCACTCGTCTTCAGTACTGACTTCAGAAGTTTTAATTACACGCAAGGATGTTTCTAATACGTGATCACTGCATGTAGTCATTTAATGATAATCAATTTTTATAAAATAATTTATCTTCAACAAATAATTACACCATCCAGGATATTTTCGCTTAAAAATGAAGTCAGCATTTCTTGTGACAATGTTAAAAACGTACAGCATTCTTCCATTTAACGTCGAAACTTCGACGCCCCAATACTTTACCGAGTACAAAAAACAGCTTCCGAGTTAACACAGTTAGCGCAGTGGCAATATAGCTAATTAAACACGCTTGTACGACTATTAAAGGCGACGCTGAGACTGTGGCTCCACGTGCGTTGCCTTCGCTTCGGCGTTTTGACGCGCGCCCGCAATGGCCTTCCTTTGCGACGTCACGAGGAGAGCGCTACGGCCTTGTCTTCTAGGAGGTGTTGCTCGTTCCCCCCTTCTTCTCATGTCCGCGTGGGGGCGTGTCACTATAAGGGAGGTGAACTTGCCATTGCTACTTTATTCCTCCATTCTCTTTTTCTTATAGTGTATGTCCTGACGGAGGGAATAACGCTGGGGCGAGGTTGGGCTGCCCTTCAATTGTAGTTCGCAAACGACACCCCCGAAAGCACTCGCCCTCGAAAAAAGTCAATCGATGAAAGGGCCAATTCCCGTCTGCCACTGGGCGAGTTAAGTCCGTGCTCCGAAGCGCGAGAGTTTGGCGTTCCTGTCACTAAACGGAGAGGAGTGCCACCGGAGACTCACACTCGAGCGCCCTCTTTGTGCACCGAAAATTTCTCAGAGAGCGAGTGACTTCTCCGCGCTTTGTGACGTCACGTAAACAAAAAAGATGGCTGCGCTGCTGTTGAGACCGTCGAGACGAAAAGGCGTAGCCGGACCGCTGCCCCCTTTCAGTTGATTAGTGCTTAATCCAGCGGATAAAAACGATTTGATTTGAAAGCCAATACGTCAATTAGCGTTCCGAAAAAGGTGTGTTCGTGGATCTCGCCTGAAAAAGGAATTCATCTATCGAACGGTAGCGTGCCGATTGCACAGCGACAGAAAAAATTTAGAAATGAGGAGACATTCGGACCGCCCTGTCCCTTCTATAATGCTTAGTCCAGCGAATAAAGATACTTTGATTTGAAAGCCGACATTCAGTGGGCGTGAGGAATAGATTTGTTTGTGCGTCTTGCCTGAAAACGAGTTCAACTATCGAACGAGCGTGCCGATAGCTCGGCGACAGAAAAGTTGTGATGAAAAGACAGACCGCTGCCCTGCTTAGAATGCTTAGCCCAGCCGCAGGGAATAAAGATACTTAGATTGGAAAGCCGAAACACCAGTTAGTGTTGCGGGACAGGTTTGTTCATTCATGCCGCCTAGAAAGGAATTACGTACTATCGAACGACGGCGTGCCGGTATCGGCGTAACTTCCGTCTCGCTGCAAGACGCAACCTGGGAATCTCTGACAAATTTGAAGGTTTCCTGGGTCGACGAGCAGGTTCAAGAATGTTGTCTTTAAATTCAATCAAAGCAGCATGGGTGGTCAATAAATAGATTGGCCAAGGTAACCTTCCAGCTTCCGCATATGTGCACGAAACGAGTCTTCAAAACTTTCATGAATATTAAAACGTTCGGAGAAACTTCATAACGTTGCCGTCTCTTTTGCTTCATATCTACCGCTCCACACGGGCCTAACTATTTATCTTCGAAATATGTTCGGCTTCTGCCACCCGTATCCTTGGCCGGAAGGAGCTCGTGTGGCCCGTCTGTAGCCCGTCGATAGTTTCTGGCCGTTTTCCATGACTTACTCGATCTGACTCTAGGGTAAAGGTGGTTATCGAAAACCGACCCGCGTCCAACGTTTCTCTATTTTTGTCGTCACGTGACATAATCCGCCAGGGTAACTCGGGAGTAGGATCCATTCGAGTAGGTTTGGAACGCAGCCTCGGTGTGTCGCGCTCCTGTACGCTAAGCGCCGTTTAGTTGCTGCGCTCGGGGTATAAAACTCGAAGCGTCGGAGTAGGAGTAAAGGAGCGCCGACTTAACGCGCCCACGGACACGCGAAAGTGACGATGCTCGACCAAATACAGCTTCGCGACTGCCATTAGTTTGCCAAAAAGTGAAACTGCTTTTTGGGGCACCAGATGGCACCAGATTTCAAAAAGAGTCCGACGCGTTTGCCGCCTCCAGGCGCCACCCACCAGGGCGAGGTTGAAGATGCCGCCCACGGGGCCGAGGACGGCTGCCTCCCGCAGCAGCGCCCTGGCGCCCTCCTCGGTGGCCACGTCCGCTCGGCTCACGGCCACCTTGGCGCCGGCCAGCCGCCAGCGGTGCAGACAGAGGCGCTGGTAGCCCGTGCGGACGCCCGAGCGGGCCGTGAGCAGCAGCCTGCGGCAGCCCCGGGCCACCATCCAGTCGGCCAGCTCCAGGCCGAAGCCGCCCAGGCCCCCGGCCACCACGTAGCTCTTGTCCTCGAAGAAGTAGGTGCGCGTGTGAGCCTCCACCAAGAGGGGCGTGGCCGCCATCGTCTGCCGCAGGGGTTCCTCGGGCCGCACCTGGGAGAGGACGCGTTCGGTCGTTAGGCCCATCGGCCAAATTCACGCTTCTCGTTTGTTTCGAGTACCTAAAACAATTCTTTTCAAGTACCGAAAACTGCGAGGCTGTTCCGGGGCAGGACGAAAGTAAAGAATTATTATTGTTATTGTTGCTCTAAACGCGCGGCACCAACGAATGCTCGGTCGCCATTCGCATCCAAGGCACTCTAAGAAAGGAGGGGAGTTCGAGGGAGTTAGACGGCGTGACAACACCCACAGCGTGCGCTAGCACCCCTTCGGAAGGAATATCCTCTCTCAAATAGAAGGAGCGAGCAAGGGGAAAGAGAATGGGGTGCTACAAGAGTCCCCCGGGGATTCGAAAGGATTGTGGGCAGGGGAAGCCTGCCCTCGGGCCAGGCTTCCCTTGCGAAGGGGGAACGTGGATGCCTTGTGAAAGTTAAATTCGACCCTGGAGTTTATGTTTTTACTTTACTTCTTTTTTTTTCTTTTTTGCTTCACAGATCTTTGAAATAGCTGACCTTCCCTTTTCCTTCGTTTTTTCTTTTTTACGTTTTCCTATTTACTTCCAAGTTCGAAAAGTTACCTGACTGTTTCATAGAGGGCGCTGGCGGGCAGGGAACGTACGCCGGGGCGAGTGCAACGTCTACTTTGCTGCACGACACTTGATACGGCTACTCACGTGATCGGATCTCGGCGAATAGCGGCGAGGGCGGCACGCGGCACGTGGAATCAAACGCGCAACTCTGGCTCCTGTAGGGAGCCTATAGAGGAACTCTAGATCGACAGACCGACACACCATGTCGTGGCTTACATTTTGCGAGATCGAGTTTTTACAAGCTTACGGTTGAGCATGTAACCTTCAAAGGAGGTTTAGATTGGTCTTGTTTACGCTTCTGATACAAATGTCTTTGTCGCTGGTCTGATCCGGTAAGATAGAGGATACAAACCAATGTGAGACAATCTGGGTAGCTAAAACGACAATAAAAATATCTCGCCATTAATTTGTTTAGCGGTGGGAGACACTGAAAGGTGCATTCCGGTGACAACCAATTTAGTCAGCTGCACGCGCTGGCGACCGAAAAACTTTTAACTTAGGAAATATATAGCAAAAAGATAAAATCGTGGAGAAAGCGTGATGACAGCATTTATTCTAGATTTGAAGTTCCGCGGGCACGACATTTTTGCGAACTCTCGAAGCTTACCCGATATTAATTTATGCAGCGTTTTATATATCGTACAAATAAATTGTGAAATAAAAAGCCCGCGACCATACTCATTCAGGGCACAACTTTTCACAAAGTTTTTGTTACACAGCGCCCTACCTCGCCCAACCGAAGTTATTAGTGCTGTGGAGTCAGGACATCGTCGGAATTTTTCACTTGGTATGATGACCCTCTCTTTTCGCGTTAGGATATTTTAGGGTAAAAACTTCTGGGAGCCATCCTTTTTTTATTTTTTCAGTTTGAGAAGTTTCTTGACTGCTTCATGTGCGGCGCTGGCGCACTACCTGGTGGGCCGAGACGCCATTCCGTAAATTACATTTTGTGTGTTCCAGTTTCGACAAGCTTACGGCCCTGGCGTAAACTGCGAGCGGATTTTAGGTCGTTTTCGTTTATTATGTCCCTGTTATACGAGGGTTCCGACCGAATAGAGGTAACATTACAACGTGAGACGGGCTGGGCGGTGGATCGAAAAAAATAATATTTAAAGGGGCGATGGAATGGTTTTAATGCTGAAGGAATTCGCAGCTTGTAATTTTTGTATCGTTTATCTTAAAAAAAAAAAAAAAGATAGAAATCACGTCTATTTTTTTTAAATAAATATCGCGATTCCGTTTCGTAAAATGCAAAGCAAAAAATGGTAATATCTCGGGTCTTTAAACCACGCGCGGCGGCTGGAGTGACGGATATTTGGGTACATCTGGGTGAGTTTTCGCGACGCCATCTGCATGAGGCGCATAAAACCATTCTCTATGATGCTGTGGTGAAAGAATGCGAACACATGCACGTTCAGACACAAAACGGACGATGAAAGGGGGCTCGACCTTAAAAAGACTATTTACAGAACCCAGACACACAGGTTAAACCTGTGCTCCTGCTTTTATGCGAATGACTTTGGTGTAGATAGGTGTGTCTATTTCCGCTTTCAAGTCCAACAGGCTGGCGCCATTCCACGCGGGTACGAATGAGTGCAAAAGGGTCATCTTGAAAAATCAGTTTGTTGGAACAGTGTCGTGTATGAAATATCTCTAGCTTGCGGGTCTACGCATGTAGGTCAAACATAAAGACGCATTAACGACAGATTAAATGAGCATAAAAGGAATGCCAAGACCAATACAACGACCTCTGAAATAGCTAAACGTGTTCGTGAGCAACTCTGAAGTTGTGGTTGGGGCCCTTTTTAGGGAATAAAATGTACAAAATGCAAAACATGACCTTCTTTTTTTCTTTTTTTTTTTTCTTTTTTGCAGGGTTGTGTTTTTATATTTTGCTTCACGATTCCGGGGTCTGTTAGGGATTGTCTCTCTAAGTTTTCGATGTGTCACGGTTAGAAAATTGGCTTACAACGTGTTGTACTAGCTTTAGGGTTTCATGACGCAAGTTATCGGGAAGGGGCGCGGCGTGGGCAGTACAGGGAGGGCGCTCCTCAACGATAGAAGGTGGCCTGCAGGCGGACATTCCCCAAGAGAAACAAAGGTCACGAGCCCCGCAAGTTCACTTTTCCCCTCTTCTCTGGCGTTCATGTCCGCCCATCGTCTTTTCTGCGTCCCGATCAATATTATAGCGTTAACAGAACGCCCTTCCACATTTAGTTTTAGTGTGATGACCGGCTATTCAGATGCTTGTTTTACAGCAATCTAGGAATCCCACGCATTCATCGAAAGTTCGAAACACATGCTCCAAAAACAAAACAAAAACAGTACCGTGATTAAGTTTAACAAATTCAGTTTATGTTTTCGGGTGTTTGCTGCAATGCACTCTATTTGACATGTCACAAACTCAAAGGTATGTACATATTTTCTGTGAGGAGGTCTAGGCAATCAAAAGTTGTTCTGGATTGAAACTGTTCCTACTGTAGACGGATAGTTTTGCCACCGCAGTGCGGAAGTTAACGTGGGATCTTAACGTTCATCGTGCAATAATAATGAATTTTGCCATGAAACGATACTGAATTTAAAGATTAAGCACTTCAAAAAAGAATGCTGACAGAAGTGTGTGAACTTCATGCTCTCATGCAATGCCTCTGAACTGTGCGTTTTTTTGTTTTGTTTTTTGTATAGTTTTAAAAGCACAAGCGAACTCCTCTTGCAGCCGCTCCTACGCAAAGCTTGCTGACGCAGTTTCGGGAAACCACGACGTTGATATACCACGGGTATACCTACTGGACTGTCGTGACTGATATTTGAATGGGGTTCATGTGTTGGACTCAAGCACTGCGGTGGCACTGCACTTAGGCTTAGCCGCAATTGATGCCTTGCGGGACATTCAAATTTTGGCTCGAGCTCAATCACTGCAGTGACCGCCGGAACAGCCAAATGTACGAAGTGGGGAGTGCGTACGGAGTGCGGAGTGCGGCGCGTGCACCGTTCATTGACAACCGCTGCGCATTGCTGTAATGATCATTCGCGGCAGATCATCTGCAAGAAATACATAGGGCAGGCGAGCTGGTTGGAAAAGAACATGCTGTATTTGTAAACCCTGGGACGGAGAGAATTGAAAAAAAAAAAATAGACAACACAGCTCATTGCCTCAAACTTGTGGCCGATTTTTCTGTTCAAAGTGCAAGAGCAAGTTGTTTTTATTAAACATTTTCTGCGACTACTCGTGCGCGGCCAGAAGTGCTAATAAGTGTTTGATAGGTTATAAACTGGAGGTATCTGACGATAGTGGAGAACAGTTTTATTGTCCCTTTCTCGCACTGCTGTACGATGATAATCCGAATCCAATGGGGCAGTGGCCGGGATCTAAATCAGTAATTCTACAAAAATTCACAACCTTTTTTCCCATTATATAAGCAATATTACGACTTAAAGTGAGAAGCTAAAAATAATTTTCAAAACTTCGATAAATATTCGTTTCTCGAAGCGGAAATTGTTTTTCTTTTTTTTTTCTTTTTTTTTTTTATACACAAGACGTGGATAAAGGACGTCAGAACAAGTCTGGACACTGTTTTATTAATTGTTCTGCTCTCCCATAACATCACGATGGAGAATACAGAGCGCGGCCTAAAGCCGAGGCTCTAAAATGTTTTCGCTCAAGGTTTCCCAGCGTACGCTGACAATGGAGGCAAGTGCGCCAGCACCCGGCCGCTCCTCTATAATCCCTTAAGGCCCTGTCACACTGAGGCAACACGACGGCAACAGCAACACAACACGTTGTCCAACAGTCGGGCAACTTGTTGCTCGCTCCCCGTGTTGTCCGACAGAGCTGTCACACCGCGGCAACTGCACGACAACATGAACGACAACTAAAATGTTGCCTCGGTATGACAGCTTTCGGCAACAAAAACAGCAGCAACTTGTGTTGGACAACGAGTGTTGCCCTGATCGCTGGCTGAGCGAATTTCGGGCCGGCAACACGAACACATAGATAGCTTCGATGGTAGAGTTAGTCCCCTGTCAATAAAGTCTTACTCAAACAAAGGCTTGGAAAACATTATTTAACAATAATTAGGGCTGGCGTGCAGCTAAAATATTTTCGATTAATGTTTTTGCTGCGTAGTTACGGAAAGCGACTTTTGAAATGGTCACAGCTACGGTCGTGAACGTTCAGACTGGTTTTGAAATTAGAACTCCCGAGAGACCAGCGCACATTACGGAAAGTGAAATAAAATGGCATGCCTACTCACCCCGTTATACGACATACCGTACCAGAGGAACGCGAATATAAAAACTTTTTTTCTTTACTCAAAAAAGCGAGAAACACCAATGCGTTGTGGATGTACACACTGCTGGGTTTGTAAATGTGACACCTTGACACTACGAAAAATAAATGTCACAGTGCCGAACGATAGCATTTTTGAAAGCTAGTTTAATTATCCGCGCTGTACTTGAATCTCAGGAATAAAAAGGTGTTTAGGCCTAACAATAAGTAAAACTGCGGGGCGCAACCTCTATAAGTAAGACCTGGCGGCACGCGGGGGATAGCGCTGATCTACCAGAACAAAACTAAATACTATCCGGAAGTG